GCAAGCGCTCTGCCATTGAGCCACCTTCCCAGCCCCTTTTATTTGCTTTTTAAGTATTAAATTTGGTGATTTCTCATTGAAAGACTTCATTAGTATTATTTTAATTAGAAGATTATTATAAAGATGTTGAATAGAATGTATCAATGGAGTTTGTTGATACTGTATAAATACTTTTTTTTTGTTGATTGTGGGGTTTGAACTCTGGGCTTGGACATTGTCCGTGTGCTCTTCAGCACAAGGCTAGCTCTCTACTGCTTGAGCCACAGCAACACTTCCCATTTTCTAGTGGTTTATTGGAGATAAGAATCTCACAGATTTTCCTGCCCCGGGGCTGGCTTTGAACCGTGATCCTCAGATCTCAGCCTCCTAAGTAGCTAGGATTACAGGCATGAGCCACTGACAGCCAGCTTGTATAAATACTTTTAACATTATAGTTTTAATTATTACTGGAAATATTTGTTTTAAGTTTCCCTTATAAATAGTATTATAAAGAATAAAAAAAGCAGGGTCTGGGAAGGTGGCTCAGTGGTAGAGCACTTGCCTTGCATGCAGGAGGCCCTGGGTTCGATTCCTCAGTACAACATAAACAGAAAAAACTGGAAGTGGCACTGTGGTTCAAGCCATACAGTGCTAGCCTTGAGCTGAAGAGCTGAGGGAAAGTGTCCAGGCCCAAAGATCAGGCCCCACGACCGACAAAAAAAAAAAAGAGTGAGAGAGAGAGAGAATAAAAGTGGTCTCATTTGTGTTTTTCTCTAAGCTATGTTAACATTTTAGTAGTTGTTCAAGGAATCAGAACTGTGGCCACTAGCACTTTATTAGATTCACACTAAATCCTGCAGAGTGAACAGTTTAATGATATAGCTGGGACAGTAGGAAAGTTACTGTAAATTCATAGACTATAAATAAGAGGAAAGCAAAATAGACTTTTACATGAAAAGTGTAATCATTTCTAGGCTTGAAGTACAAAGCAAAGGAAGGCCACAATTGTTTTTAAAAGAGATTGCTTGATAAACTGGAGATTTGAATGAAAGAATATAATTAAGCTAGATAGAACTAATTTGAGAATTATATATTGAAGCTATATGCTGGTGGTTCATATCTATAATCCTATTTAATTGGGAGGCTGAGATCCAGAGGATCAAGGTGTAAATCTACCCTAGGCAGAAACGTCTGTGAGACTCCATCTCCAAAATAATTAGCAAAAAGCTGGGTTGGAGGCCTGGCTGAAGTAATAGAGCATCAGCTGAACAAATAAGCCAAGCAAGTGTGAGGCCTTGTGTTCAAATCCTGTGGTGTTAAACAAGTAAACACATAATTTTAAATGTGCTCATCGCTTTTATATTTTCAAGGAAAAGTATTTAAGTTTATACTTTAGAAGTGATAGAAACAAGTACCAATTCTTTGATGACCATACTAACATTATAATGGTTATTGAAACTTAGCTTCAGGAGTAGAGGATGGTGGATTAAGCTGGCTAAGGAAGTCTTATCAAAGAATGAAGGAACAAGCTGAGAAAGAAAACAGAGATTTCGAGGATATTGTAGCTGAAAGGTATGGGGTAAGTATATTTAGTAAGTATGTATGATGTGTAATAAGTATGTATTATTTTTAGAGTTACTTGAAAATTAAGTGCCTTTAGCTTTGTTTTGTGCCATAAAACACTTACTTAAAGTATGTGTTTAATGTAAAAAAACACTTTTTTTGGTGAGAAACTTTAAATAACATAGAAGATAATCTGGAGATAACCATTGTTGAAACTTCATAGATTTAAGAGTCTGATATATTAAGGAGTTTTAACCTTTTTCAGAGGGTTTTGTGTGTGTGTGTGTGACAGAGAAAGAGAGAGAAAGAGAGAGAGAGAGAGAGAGAGAGAGAGAGAGAGAGAGAGAGAGAGAAATGTGTCCTGGGACTTGAACTTTAGGCTTGGGCACTTTCTCTGAACTTTTGTGCTTAAGGTTAGTGCTCCACTCTTGAGGGTTAATTGGAGATAAGAATCTTACAGGAAGGAGGGGCCAGGAGGGAAAGACTAGGCAAAAATGAGGGAAGAGGTGACACTGTTCAAAAAGAAATATACTCTTCTGGGCACCAGTGTCTCATGTCTGTAATCCTAGCTTTTCAGGAGACAGATCTGAGGGTTGCATTTCAAAGCCAGCCTAGGCAGGAAAGTCCATGAGACTCTTATCTCTTAAGTAACTGCAGAAAAAGCCAGAAGTGATAGAATGCTAGCCTTGAGCAAAAAGGAGTTCAGGGACAGTGCCTAGGCCCAGAGTTCAAGCCTCAGGACGAGCAAAAAAAAAAAAAAAAGGAAATGTACTTATTAATTGATTTATGTAACTGTAATCCCTCTGTATATCAACTTTACAATAACAATTTTAAAAAAAGAAACAAATTGAGTACAAAATAATACTTAAAAAATTCTGTCCTCCCCCAAACCATGGGAAAACAGTTTCTAAAATAAAAAGGAATCTCATGGACTTTCTTGCCCAGGCTGGATTTAAGCCATGATCCTTGGATTTCAGCATCTCAGGTAGCTAGGATTACATAAGTGAGCCACCAGTACCTGGCTAGTGTTTTGTTTTTTAATTATATATATACTTTTTTCCCCCACCAGTTCTGGGGCTTGAACTCAAGGCCTAGGCACTGTCTGAGAGCTTCTTTTGCTCAAGGCTAGCACTCTACCACTTGTGCTATAGTGCCACTGTCAGCTTTTTCTGTTTATGTGATACTGAGGAATTGAATCCAAGGCTTCATGCATGCTAGGTAAGCACTCTACCAATAAGCTAAATTCACAGCCCTCGATATACTCTTAGACCATCATAACAGAGCATCAGTACATTTTTCCAATCCCTCTTAATTCCTTTCCTCTGTAAATGATGTATTATCTTCCTACCTTGTCTATGTGCCTGTGCACATGTATGCAGTCCTTTACTAGTTATTCTTTGTGAAGGATTTTCTTTTTGAGTTTGGAGACTCAAGGATTAGTAGTTCTTGATTATGCATAAGTCCTTTTCTCTCTTCTCCCTCCATCTCACAAGGTTATTAATGAGTCTGTGATCTGGAAGATCAGCTGGAGGAAGTTTTCTTGTGTACACATACTTTCTGTCTATATCTTTGTTCCTTTTTTTTTGTCAGTCATGGGACTTGAACTCTGGGCCTGGATTCTGTCCCTGTGCTCTTCAGCTCAAGGCAAGCACTCTACCACTTGAGCCACAGTGCCATTTCCGGTTTTTCTAGTGGTTTATTGGAGATAAGAGTCTCACGGACTTTCCTGCCCAGGCTGGCTTTGAACCACCCCACCATCCTCAGATCTCAGCCTTCTGAGTAGCTAGGATTACAGGCGTGAGCCACCGGCACCCGGCTTTCTTTGTTACTTCTTAGTGGAAGTACTGATGCGTGCCTGTTAGGTTCTCTAGAATCAGTTGTCCAGATTATTTTATTTATTTTCTTGCAACTAGAATTTCCAGGCCAATTTTGTTTTTAAGACTTTGTATTCTACTCAGTATAACGGGGCACTTTTTGAACAGTTTTTTTTTTTTTGGG